CCACACACACACACACACACACACACACACTGATGAAAACACGACTCTTAGTTTTGGCTGCTATTGCCTGAGGAGCGAGCGAGCGGGCGGGCGGGCGAGAGAGAGAGAGAGAGCGAGCACGCACAAAACACATCATGAACACGGACAGTTGTTCGTTTGGTATAAATATGTGTGTGCATGTGTGTGTACAAGCTTCCATACTGAGTGTATCAGGGAGGGAGGAAATCAATTTTCGACTCGATGCATGAGGCCCCAATTAGCATTTGTCAGTTAACCCCCCACCCACCTCCCTGCCCGTATGGGGCTGTGGTAAATCGAGTCCAGAGAGAGTGTGTGTGTGTGTGTAACACGACGATCTGATACTTTCGCTCCTGCTGTGGATGTGCTCATATACTCATGCAGCCGGTCCCTCGATTTCTTGTACACACACACACACACACACACACACACACACACAAAGACTTACCTACAGTGCGTGAATGCAAATATGCAATGAAACGAGGAAAATGCACCGTGATGTATGTGTGTGTGCGTGTGCCTGTCGAATGGGATATAAGGCGCTTATCTTGTCAACCGGGAATCACTCACATTCGTTTCGTCTTTAAGAAGCCAGATACAGAGATTCGTGATTGTGACACACCATGTTATCCTAGAGATAGCTCCGGTGGCATGTATGAATACTACAATCAGCCGGAGAAGAGATCGAGAGGAGCATGGGGAGGGGTAAAGGAGGTGGAGACTAAGGAACCCTTCTCTTTCAACCGATCGGTTGTACAGATTAACGTGAAAATGCGTGAGCCAAAGGGGCTATCAGCGACCAGAAATAGTTACAAGTAATCCAGGCCAAACTGATTACGTTGATGGACAAGCATGCGTCACATCGTTTTTTGGCACAGCCGAGAATGAATTGCGATGTTAAAGAAATACGGGTATCCTGCACTATCTACGGTTCGTAAATTTGTCTTCCCGAGGGGCAAGGGAGATGCAAGGGAGTGTTTCACTCTTGGGGACGTCGTCTCTCCGCCCCCTGCAAAGCAAAATTTAAATGCACCGATTTTGAGATACTAAATGGTTTGTATGATGACTGAGCCAAAGCACCGGACTGATTTCTCGTCATTTGTGTTTTTAGCATGCAGCATTGTTTCATGCCACGTTTTGAAGTTGGGGTTGGGGTTTGATATTTTGAGACAGAGATTGTTGGATTGAATTATAAAGGGAAAAAATTTATGGGAGTAATGAAGGATTTGATTTGTGAATATGATGAATTCGTCACAACGTACGCTATTGTTATCACTATACACCCCTGGGGTTTGTGGCAAGCACAAGTGATTGAATTGGACCAGGCTGACTGTAATTGTGTCAACACGATTTAAATGGTCAACTGGGAAAATACAGATCAATTATCATCAAGCCTTTCAACATTAGGGTAAGGTCGATGGTGAGACCCACCAGTCACGTGACACCCGATGCAAGCGAGCTGCGGCATAAATTAGCTCTCATCAAAGCTATGGTACATTTACCACTGATACAAGTAACTTATCCTTTCTCTAATTTATGTGTTTATTTCTGACAATTTAGAACTTCTTGCGTTGAAGTTGTCAGTGAACTGTACAATTTATGTAAGTGCCGTATAGTCAAATATATATGTACATCCCAAAGCACACTGGATGATGAATAACGGGTATGGTTGAGTACTTTCCCCTCTACCATCGATCATCAATAGTTCTTCTGCGATAAAACTCATCAATGGTTCTTTTCGTTGAAAAAAACATAAAGACCTATACATATTTTATCTGCTGCCGTGTTCCATTCATTGGAATCAATCGTCAAATTTCCGTTATAGGCACAATGAACACGAGTGAAAATGAGATTGTCAGAGCGCAGATTCGCTTTCCCGTTGATGAGTGCGTATGTGCGTGGGTGTGTCTAGATCGGAAACGGCAACATTCGGTGCAAATGTTTTCCCAGGTTCCCTAATGTGCGCAGATATATCAAGGTCTATGTGTATTGATTTTTCCACGAGGACGCCAAATTCTGTCAATTTATACTCAAAATCGCCAGTAGCTATTGGTGGCTGTTATAGTTCAACAAGGGGAAAGGGAGCTCGGCCGAGGATAGCTGTTTATTGCTAATAACGGTCAGGATATGGTTAAATTGCTTTCAGTTCAACAAAATATCTCGTTTGGAATAAGTTTACGGAATTCCTACACACACACACACACACACACAGGATAGTTGATGGAACGGTCCACCATTAGGTGTGCATTGTTGTATTCACCACACCGAACAGCAGCAGTTTGCCCGAACAAGTCTTGTTCACTTTTGGTCGTTGAACTAAACCATTGATTGCATCTTTTCGCCTACTACTCACAAGTGAGTAGGATCTCACAACAGTGGCTATAATTATGGGTGCAAATTAGGCACAAATGAAACACATAAAGGTCACAGGAAGGCCATAATGTACGCTTTTTTGACGCAAGTTTCCACTGACAACGATGTATCCCAAAATGCACCCTGTTTATGAGACCTCCCTTCCACAAATGTGATGAGGACTCAACCGCACGCCGTGTGGAGTATAATAAAATCGGATTTCTCACAGTACTATCATATTTAAATATTATTTTTGTTAAAAGTCTATATGAGAACCCACTGTAGCAAACAAATCTTCTTTGCCATTAATTCTTCCCCGAGTTGATGTGGTTGTATAAAGGATTCAAAAGTGTCAAATTAGTGCAATGGTCTCATAGGATGAGCATGATCGGTTGATTATATTCTTGTGATTTGTGGTTGGGTTGGTTTCGGACATGAGGAAAACGAGTACAAGTCTAGTCGTAGAACACCTTTCAGACACGGGCCATCAAACAAACGAGGACCCGTTCAATGTGATCTACAGAGTACCAGCAAATTCATCCAAAGTTGTTCGTCCACGGCACCTTGCTGCAGACAAGGCGAAGGTTATTCGCCTACGCATTTTTTTTCCTTTGTTCTCAAAAGCGGTTCGTCCAGTCACTTTGATTACCTTGGCTTCAACCTGACACAGTCGACCGAAACAACCGTGATCTTTGGCATGATCCAGAGGCGCAGACCGAAATCGGATCAGCTGACTCAGACTTCCAATGACTGGAGCCGTTTCCAAACCACACAACAATAAAGACAAACCACTCTGCCTCTTCATTTCAAACCACATATCACAACACCATAATCAATCAATCATACACATTACATCAGACCATTACACTAGTTTGACCGTTTTTAACCGTATGTATAACTATATTAGCCCGTGGGAGAAGTTATCGAAAACAAGCTCCGTTTGCTACAGTGATTTCCTAATGTTACGATGGGAAAATCCAAAGAAATATGTAAGTCATCCGAGAACCCTGGAACTATTGCATAGCAGTTTCGTTCAGTCCGTAAGCGATCATCAGTTCTGCTAACGGCTAGCGCTATTGTTTTGGCACTTACTGTGCCCCCTGGAAGATTCATTTCCAGATAACGAAGAAATTGGAAATTTTCCCGAATGCTAATCCTATTAATTCTGTTTTCGCTCCTGTTGTTGAACTCAATAGTACACTTTACTTTCAGTACATCCAATCAAGCGTGGCAATCGGCGGCAAGGGGAAATCTAGGCGGCGGAGTTGGTGATGAGGATTACCGGCACAAAACTTCCGGAACGTTGTGACAGTGACCTTGATCGCTTGACCGCTGTGTCTGACGAGAGTAGATATCGTGTTTTTAATTTGCGCGGCATGATATCAGAATTGACAGTGATACAAGAACAATTTGTGCAAAGTTTCAGGAATGTGCAATCAACTTTTCTCTTGAATGGCAACCTATTTGCTGCACTTTTAGCAGCCCTACTGATAAAATCGAACGCCTCTGACTTCCGATTATCACAGAATAGACTTCCAAATTGCTATTGGAAACTCACAATCTTGGATAAACTCAAACGTTCCATTGAAGCCAAACTGGTTGAATCTGGCGGTAAGCGCATTCAGATCAGAACCAGTGTAAAAATCCAGCACAATCTCTCGATGCAAGCTGATGAACTCAACTGGAGATCCGGCCAGTGCAGCCTCACAGAACCGACCGAGTAAGGCGGATCGATCGAGCACGGTGGAGTACACGGCGGCAGAAAACGGGGTGGTTGTGTGTGGTTCGCCGGAAACCAAATGTGTGAGCAACGCGTTCTCCCGATCCACATCCATCGAGGATGAGGCCACATCAACGTAGACGTCGAGAAAATCCTCGGAGCAACTGGTGTGACGCAATTGATTGCGTTTGCGGGGGAAAGGGTTCCGGTTTGGAGCGTAGAGGAAGAAACAAACGAAGCATTAGGATAGGCAACAGATTGAAAACGTGTATCATATACACTGAGAAGTCAATCTTGACTTAAAAATTGTTTTACTATTTCTTTGCTAAAGCCTCCCTCTATGCTGATGATAATCATTTTGATGTGATCATTGAAAATCCTGTGACTGACGTTGAGTAATTACATTTGTAGTGAAGATAGCTGAAACTTAAGCTTCACATGTGTGTGTGTGTGTGGAATGAGTTATTTTCAATAATAGGTGACAGCTCGAGATGTTTAATTATTTACAAAGGTTTGTTCGTTGAACAAGGAGGAAATAATTGCACACGGATTGCACGGCTTTCAAGGGTTAAAAGTAACAAGTTGACATTCCTAATTTGTTCTTGTCGAAGACCGAAAAAATCATGCAGTTTTTTGGCGAATTCCAATGAGAGACTGACGAGAAAATTGATTAGCTAGTTAGTTAGTTACCTGCTTATGCATGGAGTTTCGTCAAGTACTGCCGGTTGAGTCTTACCAGCCGAGCGAATTCGTTGACTCAAATAAGTCAAATTTCTATATGTACAACCATGTATGTCATACCAAATACTACATAAATGACTCAGCAAAATTTCCCCGGTTTATCGGTTCTTGCCGCTCGTCAGATATGCGTATCCGGTAACTTTTTATCACTCCATTCCTCAACGTAGCTTATTGTGAGATAGTCTCTAGAGACGCTCCTGTCACGTTTGTTGCGGTTAGTAGCATCTAACCCATCTACAAAACCTAAAAAAAACCAATTGATTCTTCAATGGAATGGCCCTGAAAGAATTGCCCATCCAAAATTATCCCGTTTAGTTGCACAGTGGGAATAGTTAACTGAAGAGAATGGGCAAATCAAGAAACCAATCCTTCATTGGCCGATCGGGGTCAGCATCCGAAAACAGGAATCTGTAGGTATTTTGCATTCTGGTCTGGACATGCAACCTTGTGCAGGCGATAGTCTGGATAGCGTGCCCCAGGTATGTGGTACATCCAACCCTGCACGTTCTACCTGTCAATGGGTTCCCGTAATCCGAATCCAGCAATTGTGTGACACTTCATAGGATCTCCAGAATTACGTGTTATATATATATATATATAATGTTGAACTATCGTGAAAAAAGTGCACATATGTTTCGGTATGGAATGTACTGCCATCGCGCAGTCCGTTCAAAAGTGCCGTCCAACCGAATGAATGATTGAGGCTTGCAATATATGCCAGGAAGTTCTTGCATGTTCAAACCAGGTTTAACTTTACCTATATTTACAGATGACACAAATGACTGAAATGGGATGATCAGGCTCTCACATGATACTGTTCATCTTTTATGCTTTTTTGCGATTGAAATAGAAATCATTGCAAACGTAAACCACACGGTATACGATTACACCCCACCGAGAGCTTGCCGAGTCGTGGTAAAAAATAAAAAAGACAACCACTAGGAATGAAATGTGGTACTGATTGTATCATATCGCTGTGTTTCCCACTGGCACAAAAATCCTGATGGATCTGCTAGTATCACACTGGGACTGCACGTGATGGGTGGGTGCAGTGGATTGTGGTTCGTCTGTGAACAGTACAGCTGTCTGGTTTGTGGCTCGTCCGGACAGACGACAGATTCGATTCGAACTGAAAGGGGCGGGGCGGGGTGGGGTGGGGTGGGGCGAGAGGTGGGTGAGGTAATGCAGCTGTAGTGTTTAACCAGTCCAGCTTTCTGCCCAACAGTTGGTGGTGCAACGTACACGTAACAAACGTGGTCGCCCGGCAAAACAATAAAAAATAACTGTATAATGTTTAGTCATTGGAACATGATGCAACCCAAAGCAGGTGTTTTATAATTCGTGTTTCAAGGAAGTATAAATCAATACTGTCCGACGCGTTGGTTACATATCATATGGAATAAACCGGGTCTGTTTACACTTGGCTGATTTAGCATGTGGCTAACGGAATACTCTGGAATGTAGAATTTATATGAAATTGTGAATATGGCCAGAAAAAGGAATCAGGCATTCACTTGCCCTATCCAGACTGGCCTAGCTCCTCGGATCCCGGAAAAGTGAAGCAGATCACAGAGAGTATCTGAACGACCCATTTGCAGAAATCTACATTTGTGTTTCTGGACGGTCTAGTTTGCTGCCCCATTCCGTCTCGTGCTATCCGATTCTTGGTCCCGTTTGAGTCGAAACAATTCTTTCTCAACTAACTTCCCTACATCAAATTTCCATTAAGGCCAATCGCCGCACAATCTGGACTTCCAGGATTACGTCACTGTTCACTGATGTAGTAGCGTCGTGTGTACTACCAAGCGGACAGCAATCTTTCCGAGTTGTGATGTAATTCGAGTTAGATGAGAAATAGACTTGATTTATTCATAACTTCACGGTAATCGATTTTCGAAACTTTTATGAAATTAATAATCTCGAGAATGAATACAGACTGAGGATAAATCATTGGAACTACCTTATATATTATTCATTTGTTCACTGAGCTATGTTGAAAGGTAGCCTTTAAGTTGTTAGAGCGACAATAGTTATCGAAATGTGTAAAAAGTACCACTCGCTTTGAAGTATACTCGACGGAAGAGCAATTCACTGTGGACTTTGCTCTCATTTCGTTCATGTATCAGGACAACCGTTGTCATGGTTAACAGTGTCTGCTTCTTCATCGCATTCATCATGATCATCGTCATTATCGTCATCATCACTATCAGCAATTTCAGTACCTCAGTGAAAGTATTTAAAAGGAACAGCAACTTACGCAAGCCATTACTTTGGTGAATTGAGTGACAGTTGTGATTTTGACGGCTTTCAAGTTATTTGCGGTGAGTCTTCAAGATATTGTGTCTAGATGTTCTGTCTGTGGTTAGCACTAAGTTTTTTAGAGAACGCACAGAAAATGGATAGTTCGGAAGCAAGACCGGCTCGCTTCCTCTATGAAGTTAACCCATCCCCGGGAAAAGGCGCCCGAGAATATCTCAAAGCAAAGCACTGTTCGAATAACTCAGCGAATGAGGCTCTGTTATGAATTACATACTCGTGCGGATGTAACTCCCGAATCCGTGTACATTAAAGGTAAGGGTTTGAAGTCCCGACCCGACTGTTCGCGGTTCGAGTACTGTCAGGGACACAGAAAGTAGGCGCACTGCTAACGAGTCCCAAACAGGATGAAGCAGCTGTCCGGCACACGCTTATTACAAACATTTTCATCGCATTTCAACGCATCTGGCGCGTGGGGAATTAACGATCTCCCAAGGAGTGTAACACACCGAACACCATCAACAACGCCTGGTGCCTTTGAATGGGCTAATCCAAACATTGACCATCTAATCGAGTATCATTATTGTTCCCCGAACAATCGTCCACACGTTCAACATTCTTTCCGGAATTCCGGAATTCTCGCTTTCCCTTATGAGTTCATGGTGCAAACCACAAATTACGGCATGCTAATCGCTCCGTCGGTTGTACATGAATTGAACCGCTCGCCACCAACCACACGCACATTGAATAAACCCAAGATTCTCTTTTTTCAAAAACAACCCAAGTTCACTGAGAATTGAAAGAAACGGTTTGGACGCACCGAAATTCCAATTTGTGTGTGTGTGGCGACCTGATCCGGACTCCTGTTTTTCGAATTCCGGTCACCGCACCGCACATTGCCTCAGTCATTCGGGATTTTGCCGGTGCTTGAGGTAAGCCACTAGCACAATCCACACAAGCGCGCTCCACTGGACGTCAATTCTTCAGGTTCTATCTACGTTGTAACTGTCTTCCCTCATCGGTTATGGCGTGGCAAACAATCTTGTCGTGTCCCAGAGCACGTGCGGTAGTGTGTGTGCGCGTGCGCGCGCTAATGGGAAAACACGTAACCGGTTTCGGTCAGTCCGCTCCGCGAGCTCCATGCGCTGAACAAAAGTTCGATCGAGTAGCTAACTATATATAGTTCCGTGACCTCAAATAAACAAAAAGTCACACACAGAGTGCAACAGAGTTTGACCAAAACGGCGGCCTAGCGATGAAATTAGCGCCACCGGGAGTGAACGAGAGCGCGAGAAGTTGACGAGAACAACCTGAAGGGAACGATTCATTACCTGATCGAGTTTGTTCAACCCGACCCGACACACACATACAGGGTGGAGTGGGGCGGTGAGGGTGAGCGGGAATGCTAACCCAATCCGTTGTACTTGTACATACACGAGGTTTTTCGACAGAGACAGAGAGAGAGAGAGAGAGAGAGAGACAGTAAGATTTAATTATCTCCGGGGTCACATAATTTGTATTTGCTTCGAGGGTCACATTGCTGATGTTTTTGGTGTCTAATCTGACCTGGATTATGTTGACAACGTGTTTAATTCGCTGTTTGCGCGCGCGCGCGCGCGCGCGCGGGTGTGTGTTGATAAAAAAGAACGATTTGTTTTTTCTCTCACGGTCACTGAATGTGCAAACGGTGGCTAGTTTCATTAACAGTTGGTCAAGGGATCAGAGAATGAACTTGACTGTTGAACTTGTTCCCGATCCATGTAATGAATTGTTGTCACTGATCTCAATAGGAAAGAGTTTACCTCCAAGTTCC